AGTCCACCACGATGCGGCCGTGCTTTATCTCCACCGCGCGGCGGCGCTTGAACGTGGCCTCGTCCTTGTCTGCGCTGAGGCCTGCAAGATCAAATTAAGTTGGACCCTGCCTGTTGAATGAAGGTGGAAGCATGTGGAGGCATTTTACTAGCAGGCCCTGCCTAGCGGGTCCCAAAATCCAATAGGATCCTGCACACCCAGCTCCGTGGCAGGGTCGAAGCTGGCGTAGCTGGTGGTGTCTCCGCCGAAGAAGTTGCGCACAACCTCCAAAGAAACATTGTAACAGCTCAGACGATGTGGCTCGACTCAGGGCAGGTTACAACATGAAGCTGCAACTGTAATTTATGGCACGAAGGCGTTGCGAGCGCGATCCAAACAAGTGCCTTGGGCGTGTGCTTGCTAGCCTCAGCCATAGAACGAAGGCCTTGCTAAGTCTGCCTGAACCGCAACGAAAACAGGCAACACTTTTTAACCTTCGGAGCAGCAGGAAAACTGCCTGACTGCCACAATGGAAAGTTTGGAGCAGATTATGCATCTTGTCTCGGGCCCCACGCGTTACGCTTGGCTGCCTTGGCAGCAATGCCCATCTGTCAGGGAAACATGGTCTGCATCGGGCAAGGGCCCCACAACTGCAGCCACCACAGCACCAGCAGCTACGCTGGCCGCTGCGGAGGATGGAACCTCGATGCTCCCATCTGCACTCAGTTCAGCTTGATCTCAACATCTGTGTCAGGCACAGAGCTCTGGAACGTCTTCGCACGTTGTTCCGTTTGCAACCTAGCAGGTATCGGCGCATTTGTTCCTGGGTGTGATTGTGGCTCCCGGGAGAACTAAGGCAGCAGCTGCGGCTCGACCAGCCGCGAATGGCTTGCACCAGGTGCAACAAAACTGGGGGCCTTAATTCCATGAAGGTCGGTCATTTCAACCTGCTTCTATGTTCTCAGGTCCTCACTGCAAGCAGTGCTCCTGCCGACAAGGCAGCACCTCAAACATGAATGTTAAGAACTAAGTGGGGACGGTATTGTGCAAAAGATCACAGAGATGGATGACGTGGGAGTAGCCCTCGTCTGACTACTGCCAAGAACAACGGTAGTGGTAGTAGTAGCAGTAGCAGTAGGTTGCAATAGTTGTAGTAGTCGTCGGCGGCGCAGTAATAACTTTCAGTTGTAGTGACACTATCAATCATAGAAGTATTGGCAACGGTAATGGTAGTTGTCATTTCGCAGTAACAGCAGCAGCACAGCAAAGCGGAGACACCAGGAGGATATCTCATCACCGATTACGTCCATCTGCTTCTTGATGACTGAACAGAGCTTTTGCAGCTGCCCGACTTAATAGGATGCTTTTGGCCGAGAATGTGAGGATGGTACATGCCCGACATTAAAAAGCACTCATATTCTCTGCAGAAATTGACATTTGCGCAGTTTTGGCAATACATTGGAAGAAACATTGAATTCCTTTCGTACTGCTTTTTTAGCTTCTACAAGTAGGGAGCACGGCATCATGCACGTCTGGGCTTATACATCGCAGACCAAGAACGCGGCCACAAGCAATACGTCGTCCGTTGGAGGCCATCTTTCGGGCGAAAGGAAAACTGCCTCAGAGCGATGGTGCCGTGTGCACGACATGGTGTCGCAAAGTTTGGTCCCCTTCCAACAGTCCTGATGGCTAGGATCCTGCCATGGTCACCTATGGAAACTTCGTCTTTCAGCCAGAGTCATCTGATTTCCGGGAGTCACCGCAGACAATTGCGTGCAAAACAGCTCTTTTAATGATGATGCTGAGGCACTTTGGACACCGATTTCAAATTGCAAACCGAGCAGCACAACAGGCTCCGGCTGCTCTAGTTCCAGAGTTGGAGTCTGGGCCAAAACTGAAAACTGCCAGCGGTAGCTGATATTTGTGCCCTTGAAGTGGACATGTTGCGCGCCTTCAACTTCAAAGTGCTCCTGCAAGAATTGCCTCCACCGTCTTCATGAATATCTTTCAGATGCTGTCCGGACTGCCTATTCAACTCCTCCAACATGTTATCCCCCAGCACTCCAGCTAGTTGCAGCGTTCTGCAAATCTGCTCGATAACCTTTGACGAGAAAATGTAAACGTGGAAGGACACGCGGCCTGCCTGTAAGGCCAAAAAAACTTGCCCACCCCTCAAGAGCTTCTGAAATACACAAGACTGCGTGTACCTCACCTGCAAGCAAACAGCACGGATCCCTCTTTTGCGCGGACGCTCTCGAATCTGCGCCTGAAATAACATGTCTGAAGGACACGCTGAAGATTTTGTGATGAAGATTGATTCTCGGGAGGAGCCTAGAGGCATCTGCGAGCTTGAGCAAAGCAAAACTGTCAGACAAATAGATGTTTCAAGGCGCTTCGGCTCTTGCAAGAAAGCCAAGAGCGCTGACAATTAGTTCAACTTCATCATTGTGCCTTGCGCGTCGTCCGCC